GCCCCTGCAGACCGGCGCGGCTGCGGCGTGTGGCTCGGGCAGACGGGAAGCCGCTTCGCCTTCTGGGCGGTGGCCGGTCATTTTCCTTTCCATCTGGGCCAGAGGTGTCTGCACGGGGCAGTTTGGGGTGTCAGGGACACCCCCGCATTCCCTATTTAACCCACTGCCGGCATGTCTGTTCGGGGAGATGAGGGTGGTATGGGGCCAAGAGCAGACGCGGCCTCTGCGATGGAGCAGAAGCCATTGTCCAGTAGCCCCCCAAGAGGACGCCACCCCTGTGCCATGCCCGTGACTCGGGCCTGGGACCAGGTGAACTCCCAGCAAGCGCCCCGTTCAGGACTCGCCCTCGCCCGCGTCCCCTGCCCAGGGCCCCGAGCCGCCGCGCTGTGGTTGTGAGGACACAACCCCTACAGCTTATTCCGAGTGTCTCCAGCGAGCCCGAGAGCGGTCGGGTGTGACGTTTGAGACCAGCGAGGCCCCGCCCTCCTGCCCCATCACAGGCCACTCGCTCTGTGGTCACCTGCTGCCCCCACCCCCACTTCCCGATCCAACCCGGGGCCTCGAAGCCCTGACCCACTGGCCTGCCTTCACCGCACATTTGCCACGCCGCCCGTGGGGGAGGCTGCGGAGCCTGTGGCCCGCCCTCCTCTCTTGGTGACCCCACCCTGCCCCAGCGGAGGGGAGGGCCACGAACTTGGGCGGGGGCAGTGCGAGGGGCCGCCTGCCTTTCCCTTTCCATTACTCTCTCCTCGGCCCCCTCCCCAGACACCAGCTCTGCAGACCAGCGGGTCGGCAGGCCGTGCTGTGGGGATGCAGATCCGTGAGGGTTTTGAGGGGCTCTGCTGAGATGCGGTCAGCCTCTCTTTCCAGAACGGTGCGGAAGCCATCATCGCTTTATCGGCCCAGCGCGATGTTCTTAACGCCACAATTACCGGACGAATGGCCAAAGAAACATCTTGTTTCTTTCGGGTCGTTTCTGATGGTCTTGTTAGAATTCTAGTCGGTTCCCTTTTACAGGGAATTCAGAGCCTCGCAGCCATTACGATTCTGCACTTGTAGGAGCTGTGAGCACCTGTGTGGTTTCTGAGACCAAAATAATCTCTTTTAATTCTGTTTTATTCCAGGAAGATTTCGTCACCAGGAGCTTTTTCTGGATACTACCAAGCCACCCGTTTTCGGTAAGGACTGCGGGGTAGCCTTGCACGGAGCGAGGCTCTGCCTCTGACGTGTGCGAATGGGATTGTTTTAAGGGACTTTCAGGTGGGACTGGGCGGCCACCGTCACTATGGGCAGGGGAGCTGCGATGTATAATTAATTCATAGTCTGAGCAGGGGACTTTGAAGCTGGGGTTGGATTCACGGCCACGGAACCAACGGAAACTCTGGGACGCTGAGCCAAAGACGCTCGTGGGGGTAAAAAGAGCCCCCGGCTCGTCACGGCTGAGGGGCGGCCCATGTCGCTGTGGCCCTGTGGCCCTCGTCGCACTGGCCCACGGCCGGCACTCGGCTTGTCCTCACCGCCAGCGAGCTGTGGGAGCAGATTTGCGTGCTCTCTGCAGCCCCCCTGCCGGCCGAGTGCCTGGACGGGGAGATTTGCGGGAGGTGGCTTCTGGGCCACGCGCGATTGGGGCTCTTCCCCTTGGGCCTGAGACGCCCCGGAGGTTGGTCGCGGGGGCCGGTGCGCAGGCCGGGCACGTGTGGGGCGAGAGCGCGTTAGAGGCGAGAGGCCGAGCAGGTCTGAGCTTCCGGAGGATTCTGTGGCTCTTACGCACTCAGGGGAGGGGACGAATGCTGGGCAGATGGGGCAGCGCTGGGCAGCAGTCGACGCTGTCACACGTAGGGTGGCTTCGGGGAGAGGGACAGGGCACATTCGTAAGGCGGTTAAGAGATGCCGAACCATCGGCCCATCAAAGGGAACAGGACGAAGCTTCTCAGGACCTGCCTGATTTTAACGGGTTTGGGCGTCAGAGTAAACGGGTCTCGTTCTGAACTTTTCCGTTGTTATCAGCTTTTAAAGTTTATGATTTACTTTTGTGGTCCCAACAAATCCATTTCCATCCCATTTGATTTTCTGTTTAGAGTCGTAAACACGTTTCAGCCTTCGATGCGGTAGATGAATCAGCCACCCTCAGCTGTGAAAACGCTCGAGAATTAGGGCGATTCTGGGAAAGGGGGAGATTGTGTTTGAACCAGCGCTAAGGGTGGCCGGGCGTTTCAGCCTTCAATGCGGTAGATGAATCAGCCACTGGGAAAGGAGGAGATTGTGTTTGAACCAGCGCTAAGGGTGGCCGGCAGAGGAGGTGTGGCTTATGGGGGAGCAGTCCCGGCAATGACGGCGCCGTTCCCATGTCCCGGGGGCCCAGGCTCCATCCCCGACCCCAAATCATCCGCTCGTAGGAACCGTCCACTGTGAAATCGGCTTCTGGAAGTTTTTCTCCAGGCGGCGGGGTCGTCATTGCATTCTGTGCGGCCGCAGGGCAATTCCGTTGGTGCCTCTAAGGTCTAAGGTGTTTTTTTTCTTTCTCGGCCCCAAAAAAGACGTAGTGGAATTTTTGCGTGTCCATCGGAAATGCTGTTAGAAAACCAGAATCAGGCCAGCCCGGCTCCTGGATCGCCTCACCCGTCCGCAGTGCCGTGGGACTGTCCCTCCAGTGAGTACACGCGTCACTTCTCCGCAGCTTCCCCGCAGAAGACCACGTTTCTCCTGTGGTGATGAGAGGGGTGTTTTTCGATGTCCGTTATGCCGCAATGAATCTCTGAGGACAGAAGAGGCCTGGCTTTATTTATTTTCTACTGCAAATGCACCATTTTGTCATTTCGGAGGACCGATACCCGGCGTGCGTGCCTGACACCTTTTCACAGGGTTGCTCTGCGAATGTGCACGTTGGGGGCTCTGTCCCATTTTTTGTCCCCTGGGAGAGTTAAATCCTGCGTCTCACTCTTCCTATGACGTCTGTCCTATTAGGCCTTCGATCTGTAAAATGGGTGACTTCAGCGATTATCCTGAAGGCACGTTGGGGAAATTCCTACGCTGCGTTGAAATCGTGGGCAAGTCTCAGAAAATACGTTGGGTTAGAAGATGTTGCATTCGCGAAGGTGGCCGGCTGAGGGGTTGTCAGCGTGCCTTTGCCCGGACGGAAACGCATGAAAATGCCGTGTGAAATCTGGCCAAGAATGTTCCTAAAATGTCAGGTTCCACAAAAGGCAGAGAATTCCCAGCTGGCAGGCGTCGAGAGGAGGACGGAGCTGGAGCATTAAGGGGGCAGGGCAGTGAGCCTCCTGATGGAGAGACTGGGGTGTTTGCCGGGGTAGACGGAGGGACAGGCGGACAGGGTGGCAAGCCAGCAGCAAACCCTCGGCACGGAACTCAGAGGGTGGCAGAGATGCGTTCTATGCGGGAATCATGGGCGGTTCCTCCCGCACGGCGGGGCTGGGCATCGGGGTGGGGGATCCTAACCGGGTCGTCCTCGTGGGAGAGATAAAACGAGGTCCTTGCCTGGCGGAGCACACGCAGGCGAACGTCAGGAGAGTCACGAGCGTGACGTTAAATGTGAACCTACACAAAGAGCAGAGCGTTCAAACGCGCAGGGCCCGTCCGTGCGGCCTTCGGGTAGGAGCAGGTAACACGCACACGCACACACGGACACACGTGCGCACACGGACACACGTGCGCACACCGACGTCATAAAAGAAAGGACCAATTCGTGGAGCGTCAGTGTTAGCGGCTCCTTTAAGACAGGAGGCGCTAGGTAAAGTGTACAGCGCGCCGCCAACTGGAACGAACGTCCCACAAACGAGCGCCTGCTGCCGGGGCTCAGTGTCCTGTCGCGCGAAGACCTCGCTCAGATCGAGGCCACGACGGCCGGACCGTGAACCGTGGCAGAAACCACGGGGCGGGAGGGGCCGGGCCGTCGGTGCAGCCCGATGGGTATCTTCGTGGACACCGGTGAGGGACCGCGCGCGTGCCCACGCCAGCTCCCCGCCCCGGTGCGTCCGTGCGTGCATGCGTGTGTGCGTGCCTGCGTGTGT